GGAAAGAGGAGAAGGGGAAGGGTGCTGAATGGGAAAGAGAGGCAGCTTGGACTTGATTTGAAACAATTCTGAAGTTACCTGCTTCAGTAATCTTCAGAGCCACTCTTCAGAGCAGTCTGCAGAAATGTGTCTTCTCTTTAAATTATAATGTGAGTGCCTCTGGTCAGTCCACTGTCTCTAAATTCTCCTGAGGAAAGGAAATCACTTTGCAGGGCCAAAAAAAAAAAAAAAAAAGACGACAGACCTGTATTAGAATTATCTTATCTGGTCACTGCTTAAATAATTGGAAAAGATGAGTGCGGAAAATGATGGATTATCTCTACTTTAATATACTATAATGTCCTTTCAAGGGAGGCAGAGGAAAGATGGAGTAATGTCACAGAGCCAAAAGTCCTGGTAGCCCATTACATTTCTTTAAAAGCTATACAGGGAAAAAAAAATCAGTCAGAGGTAGAAAACTAACTAATGACATTTATAAAAAAAATATTGTGATGAGATCTTTGTAATTGCACTTTTTGACTCCATGCAGCAGGAGAATAATTGATTATCTTCTTTAGGAACGATCTACCTGGATTATCTCAACAAAGCATCTCAGAACCAGGGACACCTATGAACAGTGACTTTAGCAAGATAAAACATTACATGTCTACTATATCTTTTTGTCCCAGCATGACCTCCCTTTTTCACGGTAACCTTCCTTCCCAGCCTGCTCTCTGCCTCAGTTATTTCCCTAACATTTGTCAATCTCTTATCTGTGCTTTTCTATTTCTGGATTTTTGTTTACTTTCTCACAGATACCTGTACTTCTATTCTGAGTGAGCAAGATCACAAGTGAAAATGGGCTTGGCTGACAGTAGCAGCACCTGGCTTTACAAGTTCATATGTATTAAAATTCTCAGATACAACTTCAGTTTGTTTCAGTGACAAAAAGTTCAGTACTGGGATATGAAGTATGACAGAGGCATATTTGTCACAAACAAATCCACATTCCCGTTTCAAATCCTGTTTCCACAGGTATGTTGGAAAGGTAGTGTAATGCTGTGACTTCATGGGACTAAAGAAGGTTTGACAGGTGTTTTTATGTCCCAAGAAGACCATTTGGTTTGTGGATTCTCATCCGGATGATATCTTTACACATATTTAATATCTTGTACTGAATACTTCCAGCCTTCACTACAGTCCAGGGTTACTCCAAGAGTACACTCAGGAGTATGGTTTTTCAGGATCATGAAAATCACAAACTTAATTTCCAAAAAGAATTAATCCCTTTAGATTGATTCTCTACCAGGGTACTGGTGTGCAGTCTTGCACACCAAAGATAATGGTACTATCTGTAATCCCTCTAAAGACAAAATCATTTGCAAAACAACATGTTCTGTAGTACATATTATAGCTCATCATCTTATTATTCAGAAACATTATCATCAGTATGCAAGATTCACTGAATAGAATAAAATAAGTTGTTCATTTCCATTGTTATTAATTTGAAAATTAACAGCAGTTATTGAAGAATTGCCTTTCTTACCTAAGAGTTGTTATTGAAAATCACTAAAATATGTTTTAAAATGAGCTATTCAAATAGTAGTGTCTAGCTGAAGAAGAAAAGTCTGTGTCCAAAAATATAAATGCTAGGTGAACAAATCACAGCTATCACTTGCTAATAAATAACATGGAAATGTCCAAAACCCAAGAATGGCTAAAGGGAGAGAGGGAGAGCTATACATATGTAAAGCACAGGGTGAGTTGTTCTGTATTTACTCACTACAACAAACAGTTACATTTTGAATAAAACAAGTTAGGCATGTATCTCTCAAAATCGAGTTCAAATTTCATTATTTTTTATACAACTGTCATTTTTCTTGTTTTGAAAAAAACGCTTTAATTTGCCCAAGCATTTTGAACACATTTTCATTCGTATTTGACGGTTTCCTTGATATAGCATATTCCAAAGAATGAAAGCCAGCTCATGCAACAGCTGGGTGGAGCCTCTTTTTAACAGGTTGCTCTCTCTCAGCAGTGCCAGGGAGGTTACAATTATTTTTATTGGCATTGCTAACAAACTGGTATTTTGCACTTGGATCATTTATTTTGTGATAAAAGCTCCGACTGCCTGATTTTACTAGCAGTTCACTTATGTTTCCACTTAAAGAGATTTCTCTCTTGCTTTCTTCACGTACTTCACTAGACAGCTGGTCTGTCATGTTTTGCTTTTCATGGGAACCAGGTTAATGGCTGTTCCGATAGCTTTGATGTTCACTTTTCGCAAAATACTGTAAAGCCTGCCTACATATACAGCAGTCAGCATTCACCACTCTTATTTTCCAGAATGGAATTAGCTCACCTCTATGACACATTGGGAGTATTTTAATGAGAAACTCTATCGCAGGCATAAAACCCCTTGGTTTGTGTCAAATGCTGTTACACAGGCCCTGGTCCAAAGCTCTGCCAGGGAGTTTTATTTCACATCTTTATACTTCTGAGTCCCAGTTTTCGGTTAGGTAGGCTTTTGTGGAGTAGAATAAGAAACTTTATGTGGAAAACTGTGAATTAAAAATGCAATAATACAAACAGTTGGCATGAGCACACCTGTTGGCTTTGATGGGCTTATTCAACTATACAAAATAACTCAGGCATGTAAGTGTTTGAACAGGCTCAGTCTTAAAAGCCAAAATGCCAAACTTCTTATTGGTAAAATTATTATTTGCATTGTAGCTGTGCTTTAAGGCCTCAACAAGAGATCTAGCACAAGAAAAGGACCAAACTAGTGTAGACAAAATGTTTCCAAAAGTGCAGTTTCCGTGCGTGTGCTGGGACGCAAGCAGTTAGTAAGACAAACAATAGGAATGGTTTGCCACCCCGCTTGTTACAGTAATCACGTTTTTCTGATTTACTGTAAATATTCACACCAATTTAAGAGATTTTCTTGTGCCCACACTCTTCAGTCATCAAATACTCTGAAGCTGTGTAAAAGAAAAGTTTGCTAGTATTTAACAATCTTTCTCCAGCAAACAGGTATGGACGAATTCATTGAACTAAGTCTAATAAAATCTCAGTTGCCCTGTTAAAGAGTGGGTTACTGAGTGAAAATGTGACAAGACTGCAGAATCTCTGCTGTCCAGCATCTAGCTCTGCCTAGGGGGAAGATGTGCTTTGAGCTGTAACGGTAAATGAGCAATAAGAGGTTGAGAATGGCATTAAAAACCCTGCTTATTGAAACAATGCAGACTTTAGCATACAGTTTCCAAGCCTAGCTTGTCTGTTAGTTAAAGGCATATGTGATTGCAAAAGAGACATAGCACAAGCCCCTGACAAGTAAAAGGAAGTCTCGGAGGTTCATTTAATCTTTACAGAAAGTCTATAATTTTTTGCTATTATTTCCTTATAGGGCGTTTCACCTCTATGTTAAAACCAGTTCAAATCCTTTTTTGACTTAGTAGTAATCAAATGCTTGAGCGACCTACTAAGTAAAATAGCTTTAATGCGTTCAGACCAACTTTCCAGTAGATGAACACTCATGTCTAAGAATCACAGTCATTACTAGGAATAACTGACAAGTTTGTTAGCAGACTTAAATGTAACAGGTTGAGCAGAATAGGTGGGAGGAGGTAGGAGAGAATGAGTTATGTTCAGATTCTTGGGGAGTCTAGCAAGGGTGAAGCTTTTTAGCAGAAGAACATGGGGAAGCAGCCGCTGCTAATGCTATGTCAGTTCTCTGGATAAAGAAACGGCTCCAGCTTCTACATCTGCCAGTCTGCCGTCTCTTATAAGTAATTAAATCACATTGTAGATTTGTATACATATTTAGATAAATAATACATTACATATATATTAAGCACATTGGCATATGAGTGTGCATGAATATCCAACACAGGAAGTCACATTCAGTATTGAATTTGTCACCAATTTCTCAGTAACAAAGTGAAGAACATTCCCTAAGGACTGATGGCAAACAAGGAACATACTTTATGCCACAAATTCCATCTGGTTGT